CAGCCACCCTGATTTCATCAGGTGGCTGGGAAGTCTTCTAAACTAAAGATAAAAGACATGAACCCTTCTGAAGGATAGAAAAAACAACAGTAATTTTTATATTCAAGAAATAAGCTTAGTTAACAATGAGTCTCATAACGTGACAGGTGATGGGGGCGATGACCAGCAGCGCTTTATCAAGGAACTCGGAGAAATTTCTAGCAAAGCGGGATTAAAGACTCCTTTCCATATGATCGAGACCTCTGGATGCAATAAGCAAGATGAGATTTGGGCTCAAGACTTTTTTGAGCCCGGCTACATGAGCATACCGGGATCCAACGGCCCCGTTAGCATACATATCATGATAAGATCTGCTCAAGACTACCGCAGCGCCGGACGCAAGGTCTTCCAAGACCTGAGGTCCAATACAGTAGGGGCTGTCCAGCACCTAGCGGGAGGTGTTACCACTGACTCGACAGGCAATCTGGAGACTGTACCTCCTTACAAACACAACAAGAAGTCGTATCCTGCCGGACGAGCTGTGATGGGCTCGGCGGGGAAGAGGCCGTTCATGATGGACTTCCTTGACGCTCAGGAGACGCAAGCCCCGATCGAACTCGACACCTCGTGGCTTGCGGTCCAGCATACGGATGAATTCATGCAGTTTCTTCCCGTTGAAAGTGAGCGCGGCTGGGTCATGATGGTCGATGATCCTCGTGCGGGCCTCGAGATACTCCAAAAGGCTCAGCAGGACGGCCATGGCAAGGAAATGGCCGTTTCCCGTTCCAAGTCGCCGACTGATCGGGCCAAATGGCGTGTTACTAATACCATAGACGAACTGTTAAATGTCACCAACTTTGCTGGTTTCCAGGAATCCTGCGCGGGCCATATTGAAGAAAATATCAATATAATCAAGCGAGAAACAGGTATTACCGATGCGGAAATCATTCGCATTCCTTCGCTCTATCAGGTTTACAAGAGCAAGGTTTGGCAGTATGCGGGGAATAAGCCTCGCACCGATGAGGAAATCCAAACCATTTTCAGCGATATTTGGCAATCGGGTAACGGCAAACAACGCCGCCAGGTCCATGATCTGGTCCATGCCCAGACAACTAGGAGGCTCGGGGAGCAACAGGGACAACAGCTAGCGAAGGATTCCGAGAAGGATGGTAGCGTCGGATGGCATGATGCTCTCGAAGCCGGCACACCACCCCAAGAGTTGAAGAATTACCAGCCAGAAACCGCGACAGCGAGGAGCTTAGAGGGCCGTCAAGAACAGGGCAATGGGCCTGCCGTCGCCCTCTATCCCGGCACTATCAATAGCGTTGTTCTGAACAATAAGCAGATTCTCGCCCCAAACCCATGGGGACCGGTGATTGAGGGCCAGGATGTGTTAGCCGCCGCAGTGAATGCGGCCTACCAGAAGGCCAACTATACGGTTCTTTATATGGATGACTGGTTCACGCATCACGAAAAGGTTGGCGAAGTTCACTGCGGCTCGAATGCCATTCGTGAACTTCCGGCTGTCAAGTGGTGGTAGACGTGCAGCGGGCGGAATGAATCGTCCATTCATGACGATAACGTGGAACTGCTGTTGACGGCTTTCTGACTGAGCTTTGATTGTCTTTATGAATGGTTTGCCTGTTAAGATAGCGTATGGTAAGGTAGCAAGCCAAGGCAAGGATCGCTCAGACTGTAACGGTCCAAGCTGAGTATATTGACAACTAGCTAGGCGACTACTACGAGTATCTAAACGCTAAAGAAGAAAGGAAAAGAGAACAAGAAAAGGAGAGCTCGAGGAGCTCTGAGCTCCTGGGCTCGACACGTGGTTAATCTCGCTTATGGATGGGTTACCAGACCACCCAGACCAACCCAGACAGACGGCCTGCTCCGGTCTGTCGGTCTGATGAAAATCGCTGGTCTGTCGGACTGCGGTCTGGCAGACCACCCTCAGACGGTCTGTCAGACGGTCTGTCTGTTAGCCACACTGCTCGTCAGTAGGTCCAGGCTACCCGTGCCTTCCATTTGACAAAACATCAATCTGCTGGCACGTGGCAATAGGAAGTCGTAATACTGCTGCCTAAGCAGCAGTATTCCAGAAGTATTTAATTTCGTATGATTTCGCTCCTTTAGATAGAAAATCAAGAGTCGCTCGTTTTGTCCAAGCTGTCCCATACAATCGTGTGTGTGACAGTCTGTCAGACGGTCTGTCTGTTAGCCACACTGCTCGTCAGTAGGTCCAGGCTACCCGTGCCTTCCATTTGACAAAACATCAATCTGGCGGCCCATGACAGCAAGGAACGAGATAGGCCCTACCAGGAGGAGAACCTGAGAGCAGCCAGGGAGCTAGATAACGCCGACCGTAGCCCTTAGGGGCCGCAAAATGACTGCCCGCTGAATTCCGGCTTCGACTCGTGCCACTCCTTCACTTTGCTGGTACTCGCAAGGCGCACAACATCTAATAAAGATGATGCCCACCACCAAGACGGACAGAATCACCACAACGAGTTGTTCATAGCCCAGCATCGCTGTTTGGAATGCCGACTATACTGAGTCCCTCTAAACTCTCCATCGGTCTGGAAAAGCTTCGTTGCGTTCACCAGCGACCCTCAAATTAACCGCATGCGCGAAGCCTGGACTCATGCTTGAGCATTCTTGTGAGATATTTGCTAATTGATCGGCCAACTTGCTCATCTGCCTGGGAATCAATGACCTATTATCGACGCCCTGCTGCTAGAAGGCAGGGCATGAGAAATTTACATAGATTAGTGTGCTCACGATACTCATGGAACCAATGGCGGCTTTCACACCTTGGCAATTGTCCTGCTTCCTTCAACTATCAATGCTCTCAGAGAACATACATCAATAAGCTCAGCTTGGGAAAATGCAAACCTGCATTGCACTTGGCCTGAAATATTTTCTAATCTGGTTTGGGAATTGTATTGCTCAAAAGTTGAAATCGAGCCATCCAATATCTTGCAGGTATCATGCCTCGCTGATTGCAAAAGCCCTCTGGATTCCATTACTGAACGCTAGGCAATGATCGTTCGGAGTAAGTATTTCAGCAATGAACTTTCTTTTGCCTCTTTTTTGGGGAAGAACTTCCCAGTCCTGATTGTGTAGGATCGAAGTTGGTGCACACTCCGGAACCGCGGAACAGGGTGTCCACTTCGGCCTGCATCGATGAAATCCATGATATTTACATGCACCCTTCCGATTGCCTGAAGCCGTTTTTAGATTTGCAATAATCATGTTCGCAGCTGACGACGTACCTCTTTGCAAGACTTGATTGATTGTGGAATATCCTTAATGCCTAGCCTAGTCAGGAGAAGCTGCAGAGATTCCAGTTTGTCCAGGCTTGTCAGCAATCAATA